TACCAAACACATGTTGACTGTGCCCATGTCAATTTTAACCTGATTTTTATATCCTCTTTTAACCTTAATCGTCTTCCTATACTGGTGCTTCTGCTACAGGGCAGAGATAATCAGAAAAGCCAGAGGAATAATTTTCCCTGAAGAGGTAAGAAATCCATATGAACCAATTCAACGTTAAAGACCTGTAAATAAGCAATCTACTTCTCTTCTTCCCTACAGAAAATCTGCAAATGGCTAACTCAATTACTACTAGCTGTGGACTACCTTCACTCTAATCGCCTCCTTCACCGGGATCTTAAGGTGTTTTTCTTAGTGACTTCAAATATATATGGATTTTAGACCGCAAAATATGAAAAGGAATTTAATCATCTTCATATGATCTTACAACTATTTATGATCCTGATCCAGTGCTCAAACATTTTCCTTACGAAAGACAACAAAATCAGACTTGGTAAGAAGGGAGACAGTGTATTTCAATCTCTGATCCTCCGGCATTTCTTGTATCTAATGTTAGATAAACAGGTGACTTCGGACTTGCAAAACTGCTTAGTAAAGATGATCTTGCTTCATCGGTAAAGATCTTACTTCCTATACTTTTCATGCTATTTGGAGCTAAAATCGGTTCTGAGACTATATTGTTATAAATCCCGATGAACTGTCGTTTTATGTCAAACTAAATCTGTTCATTACATGCCGATTTAGGTTGTCGGAACTCCGAACTACATGTGTCCAGAAATACTAGCAGATATACCATATGGTTACAAATCAGACATATGGTCCTTAGGTAATTATTCTGGTAACTTGTTGATTTAATTGTATCATTTGTGTATTGACATGATGGGAGGAGACTCGACCATTGAGATTTGCCATTTTCAGGTTGTTGTATGTTCGAAATAGCTGCCCATGTACCTCCATTTCGAGCTCCAGTAAGTTTCATGCTCATTTGCTGATTCGTTTCATCTGTAATCTCTAGTTTGAATCGCGGTCAATATGTATGAATGTTGATGAAACAGAACTTGGCTGGACTCGTCAACAAAATAAACAGATCAACTCTTTCTCCTCTTCCAACAGCATATTCCTCAACTCTGTAAGTGAATGGAAAATGTCCATTGATGAAATTTCTAAACCATATCCCAAGTTTTATGATTAATTTTAAACAGCAATAAGCAGTGATAATAATGAACTTTTCTGTTAAGACTTGGGGTTCCATCTTAAAAAGTTAATCTTGTTAAGAGTAGTAATTCAAGATCTTATAAATTGGTCTATATTTTCATCTTTATTCGATGAGGGATTTTTATATCTTAACATGCCCCTGCAAGATGGTGGCTCGTTTGAGCAGACCAATTTTGAAATCCGTATGCTCATTTATCGAGTCTTAATCGGATCGAATTACTCGTTGGAGTTTAATGGGATCTGATACCATGTTAAGATTTGGGGTTCCATCTTAAAAGGTTAACCTTGTTAAGAGGAGTAACCCAATATCTTATAAGTTGGTCTATATTTTCATCTTTACTCGATGTGAGATTTTTATCCCTTAACATTTTCGACATTGCAGGAAGCAAGTGATTAAAAGCATGCTTAGACGAAGCCCTGAACATAGGCCTACAGTAAGTGAGATACACTTAACCTGTCTTATTTAAGCGACAATTTCGTCTGATGCTTTTGTGTGCACCGATTTAGGCTGCAGAACTTTTAAGGCATCCGCATTTGCAACCATATCTTGCTCAATGTAGCGACTTATCACCTGTCTTTCTTCCGGTGAAATGTGAAATCGAGACAAAATGCAAAACAACAAGGGCTAAGTTTCTTGAAAAACCTACATCAGAGAAAGACAGAAAGCCTAGAACGAAACGAATGGTGAAATGGTCAAAAGATGTTTCAGACACAGAGAGAAAGGCAGATTTGCTCACTTCCTTAGAAGTTCCAAAACACAATATGAAAAATCAGGCGGCAGATCCAACAAGTTGCTTAAATCAAGTACCTAAATTGGATATGAGAGCCGAAAAGAACTGTCTCCACAGACATGAGAGTCTTGACTCGGGATCCTCATCAGGATCAAGTACACTGACTGATCAGCAAGAAGACAAAAAACAAAAAAAATGTAGTCAGCAGTTACGCGTTGCTGGGGAAGCTGATATTGATAGTAAGAATCCATGCGACAAAAGTATACAAACAAAAGGAATCCAAGATATTGCTTCGACTGGAAAGATGTTATCAAAAACTATAGAGGTACTTGTACATACAGATGAATTCCAAGGAAATATGTCGGCAATAAGTACTCTAACAAATGCTGCTCCGAGAGAAGAGAGGGCAGAAGCTATGGAGACATTACTTGAACTTTGTGCACAACTACTAAAACGAGAAAGGCTCGAGGAACTTGCTGGCGTGCTGAAACCATTTGGGGAAGAAGAAGCAGTCTCATCAAGAGAAACAGCAATCTGGTTGACAAAAGGGTTGATGAATATTCAAAGACAAGGTAGAGAAGTTTAGCAGCATGAAATTTTCAGAATACAATTGTTGCGGTGCTTGTAAAAACTCATGAGAATCAAATTACCTGCAAAATATCTTGAAACTGAAATCAACCTTCATTGTTGTATCATATGATTGATCAAAGAGAAAGAAGCATATAAAATGATCAAAGAACCATGTTGGTGACTCAATTATAGTCGCATGTTCATTAAAGACTAATGAAAGTAAATGGTAATTGCAATAAAATGTTATGATTCTAATGTCACCGCTGCCCAATTATGTAGATATCTTTATGTACTAAAATTTTAATGAAAAGATGAATTAGAGTTACTCGTGCGTAAGATAAAATATAAATAAATAAATCGCTGTTTTTATTTTTATTCAATTTAAATTATAAATGATAAGTAGCGTTTGATTTTGATCTCAACCTCTACGATTTTACTACTATTTGCCTTGCTCCTAAAGTGAAGGAACACCCAAGTTTAATTTGCTAAGGGGCCGCTCTCTTCGTATTTTAGTTTCGTAGTTTTGAGTTTTGAATTC